TTGTCAGGGTCAGTAGCACAGAGTATACCTAAAAGGCATAACTTAGGGTCTAGGGCCACTGGTGAACCCATTTCGTCATGAAGAAATGTAACAACTTGTCGCTGTAATCCAGCATAACAGGGCATGACCAGATCATGTGGTAAAAGGATCCCACAGCATTCTGACACAGAGTGGATTATAATCAGGTTTAATTTTGGATAATAGGATAGGGGTAAGGTAAGAATGCTGTAGAATATAGAAATGTGCAAGTTTGTCAGAATAACGCAAGGAAACCAGCTTATGGCTCAGCAGAGCCAGTTCCCAATACTCTTCGGTTAAACTACCTACATCCGACTCCCAAGCTGATTTTTTCCGCTAGGGCAGCTCGAATATTGCTAGGGGGTTGAAGTATGCTGTAAAAGAAAGAAACGGGTTTAGAGGAGCAGTTAGGGAATCAAAAAGAGGGTTGTCCAAGTGTACAGATGGAAGAGAAGAAAGGCGAATCAGAGTGGCATGGCACAATTGCAAATAAAAGCATATGATTGGGTAAATCAGATTTCTCTTGTAAGTTGAAAAGGATCGTATTGCCACATCTCTAAAAAGGTGTCCCAGACAGTTCCCACTGAGACTAGACCAGACCTATGGATTGGGTATAGTATTAAACTGTATTTTTTCAAATAGGCGTATGATTGTTGAACGGAGAAAGCTTAATTCGGGTAAGTGCAATGTCCCACAATCTAAGACATTGTGATAGGAAGTGATCTGGAGAAGGTTTGGATGAGAAACCCCCAAACTTCAAGATATTGAGTAGAGGGGTTCCAAGGACTGACTATTGTCCGAAATGGGCAGGAGGTGGCAAACCCGCAGTGCCTCAGATGTGGCCCAATGAAACAGGTGAGACAGATGTGAAGCGACATAGTATAATTTTAAAATGGGAAACAATCCTCCACCAGTCAACGAACATCGTACCACACCCCCCAATTAAGTTTGTGTCTGCCTTTACCCCAAAGGAAAATCTTAATAGCGCCTAAAATTTCACAGTTCTTAAGGGGTATGTCATAAAACATATAGGATCTTTGGAGCTAAATACAGTTTTAATGTATACATGTGACACGTCTTACCTGCCAAAGGTATTGGCAAGTTTTGTAATAGAAGCACTCCTGCCAGTCAGAATAGCCAGTCTAGTGATCTTACATTTTTCACTGAGATCAGTACAGTAAAGTTCTGTCACAGATGTGACTTTAGCCAGCTGATTGAACAATAAAGTAACATCACTGCATTGATTGGTGTCATGACTGTCCACTCTCTTCCGGGCAGCAGTCTCCCAGTTACACAAGACAGTACTCTGCAATACTGTAGAGCTAATAGGCTCTCACTGCTGTCCCTCCATCTGCTGCTGTGCATGGGACTACAGGAAGCTAAATAAAACAATTCAGATACTCTTATTACAAAATATGTATTTAAAATACATTTAAGGAGGATCCAACATAGATACATTTTCATGGTAAGTGCATGCATCTAAGCATAGTATAAATGTAAAACTTAGTATGCATTACATCCCTGAGGGCACAGTACTCCCCCTAACAAAGCCTTTATCGTCTTTTCTTCTCAGAAGGCCAGTGCCATCTTTATTTAGGTATCAACCATGGTCATCATCTATGCCCAAAACTAAGATGCTGGCTCAGCGATGACACAGTCATTGCTGAGCCTGGTTCCTTTGCTATTTTGGTCTGTGTGAATATAACAAATAGAGCTGCCTTCAAAAGTAACCAGACCTATTACAGAACCTTTTGACATTAAAAAAAATATATAGGCTTTCAAATCCTTTAATCACCCAATGCTAATAGACTGACCTTAATCAGTGCTACCTTGCCCTTCCTAGATGCTGGCCAAATAAAAGATCCAGTTAGTATGGCTATCACTTCTGGATGCTGCACCATAGAGTCCAACCTTTCCCTCATCATGGGAATCATGTGTTAAAGCTTAACTTGGGTAAATCAAAAGTTCCCTTGCAATGGGGCTCCCTCTGAGCTGCAAGAATAAATGCTCGTGTTTGCCTAGGGTATGAGTAAAAAGCACTTTTATTTGCCCTATTGCTCACTCCTTTAGGACCCTCTTCTCCATGTGACCAGTCTCCCAAAGTCACATCTCTTTTGCACTCTCTCCGGCATTCGCAGCTCTGATATCATCACATACAATGCAGGACCAGTAGCTCTGCATTGTACGCGAGGACAACAAAATGTTGAAGGGAAGAGCAGATGAGGTAGGTGAAAGTGCTTTTTACTGGTACCCTAGGTGAAAATGAGCATATTCCCTTGCAGTTTAGGGGAAAAGGAAACCCTATTGTAAAGGTAGTCTTTTGAATAGAGAGATGCACCAAAATGGAATTTTTAGACAGAAACCAAAACCGAAAATCACTTTTTTTTTCTAAAATCATTTTTTTAAACTTTACTGTTTGGGGAAGTATTAGGGGGTCTAAACGTATTCTGCAGCCCCTGTTAAGAATGAAGAAGAAAGCCTCTACACTGAGTGCTCCTGTCCATTCATTATCTGTGGATATAGTATGAGTTACCATGTCAACAATCATGAATGAACAGGAAGTAATGTAGAGCACTTCCTGTTCATTCATAACTGGGGACACAGTAAAGAAAATTTTATTTGAACCAACTCTGACTTATCCTTGTTTGGCACTTTTGCAGCTCAATATACTTGTACCACGCATGTGAGGTCTTGCAGGTGACTGATTTCAGGTGACCTTTGACTCTCTGATTTCCATTAATTATGTCCTTGGGTTTAGCGTGAACCCAATTTGTCAGAATTCGCCCCAAGCCCGCACAAAACTGTGACCCCCATGATTTAACAGTGGCTTTCCCTGCTCTGGCACTGCATGTGGTGTGTGATGATCATCAGATTGTGGTAAAATTAGGTTTCACATGATTGTTTTCCAGGACCAGCATTGCATGCAATTTGTTTGCCACGGCCACGGTTGAAAAAGTAGAACAGTGTTAACTGGGTATGTAGTGGTTTCAGCAGACCATTATTCTTGACACATCTGTTCACTTTGTAATGCACCAATATTGTTGTAACATATTAGAAATACCTGCAGATACCACAGAGGCAGGCTATCGCCCACACTGACTTCCACTTGCCTTGCAGTGACCAAAAAGGGAACACTTCTGGAACTGCATTCCCAATAGCACTCCAAAGGTCAAAAGGTTTTGAGCAGACATATTTTTCTTTTTGTTTAATTAATAGTGGCAGGTCCTTTAAAGAGAATCATTTATTCACATGGCTCGGAGAACATTCAGCTAAAATATGAAGTGTCTGTCCTCTGTTGCTTACTGTGTATGGACAATATCAAAGTAATGAAAATCATAAGAGGATTACATTCTTAAAAGGCTCAGAATTTCCAACGTCTAATTACTGCTGGATGCATCAAAAAATACTGTCGGTACAGTAACTACAAGTCAGCAGAGTATATATTTAGTGGTGAGCCCAGCAATCTAAAAGCACATCTTCCTAAACATAAATGGATTACATACAGTATATGAAGTTCAATACAACATAAGAGACACAGGGGGTTTAATTAATTAAACAGACATACAATCGGGAAGTAGGACCAACAGCAACTGCTCTGGATTATATAGTATGGTGGTATTAAATAAAGCAAACCTGTCAAAACATAACAATTGCCCCCTTCAACACTTCTTAAATAACTACCCTTGGTGCCATTTCCCACTGCTCTGAAAATAAACGCCGATCTCTAATAATCCCGGTACTTTCAGGGGTGAGAAAGCACATGACACATCATGTGCACCTCAGAATGCAGTAATTGGGGACCAAGTGGTTAACCATAACACCATTGTTGGGAAACAGCATTATTTAGACTTAAGCAGCCAATAAGCAAGACAAAGCATTGTCCCATGCGCTGTGGGCTGTGCCATTCACTGTACAACTGTCCTTACCATCTTGTCTTGAATTGTATTGTAATGTCTTCCTTATATTGTAAAGCGCTGAGCAAACTGTTAGCGCTATATAAATCCTGTCTAATAATAATAATACTAGGTATCATCAATTGTTATTAGCATAAGTGGTAAATATAGGCACCGTAAGGTGCCTAGTACAAGATGGGGGAGGGTTAGTTGTGACAGATTTACTTAAAATATGTGTTCAGAATATTTAAACCTGAATATGAATAATCCTGTTTCATATACACTTCTGCTACAGTCATAAACATCATTAAAGAAAAGACATGAAAACTACACTAACCCCGCCCCCCGATCCCTCCCCTATTGGTTATGCTTATTGATATGCCGCCTACTGTACAGGCGACACTTGCTCCCCTACACAACTGCTACTAACTGATATTTGTATGTCTTGCATTTTAAAAACCTACTAAAACATATTGAAGAGAAAACTACACTAAACCCATTATCACTAGAAGAAACAAGTATATTTTCCTGTTTAAAAGATTTGTATTGAATTTGCAAGAGAATGCAGAAAGACCGTAAAGAACTTAGGAGTGGGGCCGTAGGTAAGTATTGTGGATAGAGCATGTTCCAGTATTATTTTTACTTAGTTCAGGAACAGCTTATATTATTCCCTGTAACATCATCACCAGGCCTGTAAAATTCATGGGAGGTGCAACCTCTGGAAGCTCATTTCCGGTTGAATTAGATATTACCCCATAACTACATCTCCCGAAAGCCCCTTTCACACACAGTGTGTCGGCAGTCTCTTGGGAGTGAAGTTAACAGCTTGTATTGCTGGAAAAGAAGCTGGAAAAGATTGACAGCAACAGTGCCAATATACCTTGTATCAAAGCACCTTCGATGCATGCATGATAGTGGAATCATGTTTTTGGAGCCCAGCGCCATGTTTAATGAATGGTAGGAGATGGGACACTCATTCCTACATGCGCCTCCTCAGACCAGTGGTGTCATGCCGGCATCAGAGTCTGTGTTTGGTTTCTCTTTTACATAATTGTACGATAGAAAGGATTCCAGATGGAAATGGCTTACCTTAGCTAGGAAGGTCCAGGAGAGGTGATGTGCAGGAGAAAGACTGCTCCTTAATTTTACAGAAAGCAGCATCAACACGAAGCCCAAAATCCCACTAGAAGGTCAATACATTATTTCAGTAAACTGCTGTGATAGTCAAGTCAGGTGACTTTACATAAAGATCAAAAGGGGGGAATTTATCAAAACCGGAGCAGTCAGATTTTGGAGCAGTTGTCCTTGACAAATAATCAGCTTCTCTCTTTAGTTTGTTTAGTTGTTTAGCTGTACTGAAAATGACAGATAGAAGCCGATGAGTTGCCATGCACTGCTGCTCCAGATTCCGTCTACTCCAGTTCTGATAAATTCCCCTCAATGGTATTTTATTCATAATGATCTGAAACACACACACACATACATATGCGCTGCTATGTTTATATGTATTAAATCTATAGCCATAAAAATGCAGTTGGCCAGCTTCAAACTGAACTCCAGGCAAGTGGTAAATCACACAGTTAAAATACATATATATGAGCGCAGATAGCGCAACCAGGTTGGTACCCTGATTTTCCCTCCACTGGAAATACGTAATATAGTTAGGCCACTTCCCTGCCTTTGGTCTGAGGCTAGACAGTGAAGTTGAAGCAGCAGACTGATGAGGTCATCCTTCTCCTACTCTGGTCAGTACATATCCCTCTCTCATCCTACCATGTGGGGGGATTACAAGAGGCTGTGACAAGTCCAGTTCAGGTATTTACAATAATTCCATTTATCTATTTTTTTAATGAATACATAGCTGCATTAAGATATGATAACAGCTGCCTAAGTTCAGCTTTTAAACACATTATGGAAATCTAACAAAGAACTGATACATTAAAGAATTGCCTATTTTCTAGATACATGTAATTGATACTTTTTACATTTGTCTCTGCACTTGTACAACTAGGTTTAGTTTATAAATATTGATGTGTGTAGAACATATATGCCAGAAAAGACTACCATTTATTGAAATATTGTTTTTAATCTTTAGAAATGTTCCTCGTCATTCGTGCAGCAGCTGATTACCAATATGTAATAAAGTGTTTTGTTTCCAGTGTAGAAATGATACAAAAGTGATTGATAAGAGTTTTTCCTTACCTGGCACAACACCCACTATGGAATCGATAGAAATAAAGGAAAGGGAATTCCAAGGCACTGAAGAGGTCACCTTAAGGGACAAAAACAGAACATGTTTAAGATCAAGAAACGGATATTTAAAGAGCTGTGGTCTAGTGGAAAATCAGGATGCTGGTTTATAACAAATTCTGCCTGTCATGCTGAGATTTTGGTTTGTTTTGAAGGTAACCATCTTATAAATCCAAATTCATTTTTATTAGCTCTTCCATTCCCTTCCCTTTTTTACCCTTGTAGAACTATAGCTTCCAATTAAAGGGCAATGTCACCCTTACTGAAGTTGTCATCTAAAAAATTTCTTTCAACAACTTACTGGATTTCCAGGGTGCTTTGCATCTCTTTCTCTGCTGCTTGATATAATGCAATCTTGATTCTCAAGACTACACAGCCCATCATGCATTGCTTCTAGCAAGCAATGATAATGCTACATTGTTTCGATGTTGAGTTATAGTTCAGAAGGCAATGCATATTCACAGGGCTGAGTTAAATTGTGTCAGTGCATTGAAGAAGTACATTCTATGGGCATCTTCAATACATTAAGAAACTTCTAGATTAATATCCCGATTAGGAGTAGCTTAGAACTTATGGAAATTCGCTATAAAAGTACTTATTTATTTTTAGTTTTTGACCATAGATACCCTATAGATAAGACCTGCAGCTAAACATTAATATAGAAATTGCATCATCAAGAATAAGAATTTTAATAATATTATCCTATCAATTCTGAATGTAGGTAGAATTCTAGGGAACACAAATGACAACATTTGGCAAATCCTCCCAAAAATGTTGTTTAGGGAGGAACTACGAAACAAAGTCTTCCTGCTAAAAGAGGAAGCTATTCACACATCTAGCAGATCCTTCACATAAACAGGAAGATACATCTTTACAGGAACAGGAGATTTATCAAGGTAAACTATGCAGCTGGCAGGGGGACAAAGGATTCTCTGAAAGCATTTAAGCATTGATGGATTGATTAAGAGGACCAATGGCAAGACGTGGCCTGCGGGTACTGCATGCTAATATCCAACTACAATAAATACAGATTTGTTTGTTACTTTGCTGAGTGGAACATTTTGTGCAGGGAGCTCCTTATCCCTTTTTCTCCTTTAACTAGTGTTGCGTTTCAAAATTACGAAAAGGTCAAGATGCCTCACCATCTGAAACGAAAATTCACATTCTGGCCATCTTTCTGCAGGTTGTCTCAACCTCTACTAATTGTCTTCATTTACATAATGATAATTTAAATTGTGCTTAGAGAGCAAACATGGTGGAGCTGAAAAGATGTAAATTCCCACTAGTGCTTCACAGTTGTCTCATTCTGTCAATGTAGGATTCTAATCCTAACTCCATCCTGGCTAGAGCCAACTGAAGCTTTTAACCTTAACTACTGTTGTCGCCAGCCTAAGTGAATTCTACATATAATCTCATCAAGGATGCAGCAAGGGTGTCTCATACAGGTATTTTTGTTTCCCATTAGAATATATAGGAGTAGCTTGGCTGAGATGCATGCATCCCATGTCATGCTGGGGGTAAGGTTTTTAATAGGGTCTTGGACTGTGGTAAAGACTTTTCTGCTGCTCTTATAAAGAAGAAATACCTATACTGTATGTGGAGTTGATTGTTGAATGTTACCTCTATGTTTCTGGTAATTCAAATTCAGAAACAAAGCAGAAAAATAATAATTATTTAGGAAACCGACTTGTATGGGAATGCAAAACCAGTTTGAAACTAATGAAAGTCCATCAAAACAGGCCCTAAAGCTGGACATGCACCTATAGATTATCTGCAGATTTTCTGTGGTCAGATGGAAAAACTGTAACAGATTCCTCCATCTACGCTAAACTGTGTGTCTGGAGGAATCTCCCACTGGGCCAAGCTTCAGTGTCTTGCTAGTCGGCCCCGATGGCTGTCAACATACTAGCAAGATACTGAAGCTTGGCCCAGCGGGAGATTCCTCCATACACACAGTTTAGTGTAGATGGAGGAATCTGTTGCACTTTTTCCATCTGACCATAGAAAATCTCATCGGTGTATCGCCAGCTTTATACTCAGAGTGAAGTGAAATACCTGGCACCTCCAGGTATGCGTGGTCACGTAACTTAAACCCCCCTCTCATGGGACAGCGCTAGGTGCCTCATTATTGGCCCACCAATGACTCATGAGGCAAGGGACGGTATCCATAGCTCTTTGTGAACACCCACAAGTTGGCTTGGAGCTCACAAAGGGTTCACTTTCCCCAGTCTGGCAAGCAAACAGAATCACGTGGGTGTAAGAAAGGTGAGTAAGGTATGCTGCTGTGTGGAAAGTTTCTACCTCAGGGCTAGGAAATATGGACTAGTACTTTTTTTTTTTACTAAAAGCAAACTTGTCCCTTAAAGAGACCCTGTTCCCGGACCATTCATTTCAACAAAAATCTTCCTATAAGATTATATGCGCATTTAACATTTTGTGTGTGTTATTTACCAGTAAATGCCTCTCTTGTTTAGCCATCCAAAAGCCCTGATACTGCTGCTGGGCAGCATAATCTTGTATGTAATGTCGGCAGCTCCAGCATACACAGAACAGCATGACACTAATATATTCCCTTTGGTCCTCCCCCAGCAGCTACATTCAAAGATTATTTAGGGAGGTGAAGGGAGGAGTGGAGTAGCTAGGCCAGCACAGAGTTATTAGACACTCACTGGAGTCCCAGGAGAGGAGAGAGCTATGATGCACAAGGAGGTAGGGGGCAGGTCTAAGGAATCGACTCTACTGGATAGAAAAGAAAATTGCAGGTAAAACTACAGACAAATTAAGTATTTTAACCACTTGCTGACCGTGGTGTTTATACCCCCTTCCTGTCCAGGCCATTTTTCAGTATTCAGCAGTGCGGTACTTTGACTTACATTTATTCCGTCATGCAGTGCTGTACTGAAATTAATTTTATACCATTTTTGGGGGACAGATAGAGCTTTCTTTTGGTAGTATTTAATATCACCACTGCGGTTTTTATTTTTTACTATATAACGAAAAAATTACCGAAAAAATTTGAAAAAAAAACCTGTTTTTATGTTATGTTATAAAACAATTATTATTACCCAAATTTTAGGCAAAATATAAAAGACGGGGTCACGTCGTGTAAATAGACACCAAACATGTCAAGCTTTAAAATTGCGTGCGCCCGCGAACTCGCACAAACTACCATACCCAAAATTGGCCATAGGCAACGCTTTAAAAGCTTTTACCGCTCATCAGTTTAGTGTTATCAGTGATCGATGGCCCTAAAATTATTGCTCTCACTGCGACGTTCGCGGCGATATGTAACATGTGTAGCTTAATGAATGCAATCGTCGTTTCCGCACTTAGGCGCACTTGACGCATATGTGTATGTGGGGGGCGGGGTACTTTACATTTTTATTTTTTCATTACCTTTTATATGTGACTATTTTTTTTGTAACTCATTCTTTTAAACCTTTTTTTTTTTCACTTAACTTTATTGCTCTCACATAGGGGACTAACAAGCCCCCTTTGTGATAGCCAATTTTCAGTGACAGGTCCTCTTTATGGAGACATTAGGGATCTTTAAGACCCCTAATGTCACCTAGGGATCCCCAGAGAAGCTGATGAAGCAAACACCTGCTTCCCCAGCTTCTCTCCGGTTTCTGTACCGGAGAGTGACAAGAGGAATGCGGAAGTGATGTAATACACATCACTTCCTGCATTCCGAAGAGGAGGAGATCAAACGGAGATCTTGTACTGATCTCCAGCCGTAGAGCTGCTGTGCTGGTCCCGGGCTCACACCGGGCACAGCTGAGCTAACCCCCCTCACTGAGATTTGTTGACATTTCACATTTATACCGCAGTTCCCATTAATGATAAACTATCCAAGTGTGCTGACTGCAATGTCATGACTGTGCCTAAAGTTTTTTTTTGTCTCTTATTGCTCTCTCTCTTATTGCTGTGTTCAACCGAAATTCACATCAGGCAGTCAAAGCAGGTAAAATGTGGAGTAACAGTCTATGTGAATGGAAATTAAGAACAAAAAGGAAGTCTACATCATTTTAGTACAAATCCCTCTGGTAGCGATGTCGGTTAGGTAAAAGAACATATGACTGAATCAGGACACCTTCTTCAACCTGCCCTGAACTCTTTAACTGATAACTGTGATGTCAGAAACAAAAAAATTGCTTTAAAATGATGAGCTGTTTAATCATTAAACATGAGCAATTAATGTTTTTTAAAATGTTTTCTGCAAGAGATCAACCTGATAGAAACACAGTTTACTCAGAAAAAAAATTAGAGGCATTCCCTAGTGCATTGTGAGAGGGTTTTTTTTCTTTGTGAAAACCTGCTCAATAAACCTATGAAGTGCTAAGGAGAAGATGTAGCTACACAGAGACAAACAACCTTATCTAAAAGAAAAAATAAGGCAAAATCCCCGGGCGAACTAATCCAGAGGACTCCAAAATCAAGGCCAGCAAGAATGATTGCTAGGTACAGTATTAGTGCACACCAACAGCAGGACAGGAATCTATATAACCCCCTTATGTTAAACCTAGGGTCCAGGCTAATGGCAGATGTACTCCAATAAGCCATGTCATCGTGGCAGGATGCTCTTCAGAAAGGCAGCTGCAAACTGAATATAATAAGTATATATTGTATGTGTGTATATATACACAGTTGTGTGAAAAAGTGTTGTCCCCTTCCTTATTTTTCGTTGTTTTGCACATTTGTCACACTTTAATGTTCCAGATCATCAAACAAATTTAAACATTAGTCAAAGATAACACAAGTAAAACAGAACATGCGGTTTTTAAAAGGAAGGTTGTTATTATTAAGGGTAAATAAAATCCAAACCCACATGGCCCTGTGTGAAAAAGTGTTTGCCCCCCCACCGCGCGGAGCGACAAGTCCATCCCCATGTGTCATTATTGTTATGTCCATCCTCTGGTGTTATTATTGTTATGTCCGGGGATAATGACACCAGGGGACATAATGACAAAAGGGGACATAATAATAATAATGACACTGGGGGGGGGCATAATAATAATAATAATAATAATAATAATAATGACACCAGGGGGAGCATAATAATAATGACACCAGGGGACATAATAATAATAATGACACCGGGGGGGACATAATAATAATAGACACCAGGGGACATGCTCAGGTGTCATTATTATTATTGTTGCTATTCTATGCAGTGGAAGTGGTAGGTGGCGAATTATACACATTTACCATGAAAGTAGAATTATGGGGAGAGTGAAATGCGCACTTCCCCCTAGTTACTGAAGCTGCCACAGGTTGGCTCTCTTGATCGAGAACTGAGCGATCACATACCGCTGATCACTCAGTTCCTGCACTAACTCTCTGCAGAAAGCGGTGACAGTCACGGCCCCCCTCCCCTCTCTGATCCTCCAACGCTGACTGGAGGGATGGATGGGGAGGACACAACCTCTAGAGAGGTAGTCAGCTGTCAATCAGGTGGTGGGGTGGATCTGGACATAATTTTTTGGATCCATCCCAGCTGCAGCGTGGCTCTGCTCTGTCAGCATATAGCGGGCAATATTGCATGGGGGGCGTGGTGGGGGGCCCAAGAAAATGTTTGCCCGGGGTCCAATGCCCTCTCTAGCCCTGATTGGGCTAGAGAAGGCATTTACTTATCAGGTGTTGGACACTTGATATGCATGTTCTTTTTCCAGATCAGGGACCAGGTAGTGATCATCCTGGCTTCCATACCTAATGAGACAGTGACCTAAAATATGCATGCAGCCCATAAGGTCTGAAAAGTCAAAGCTCATATGCTGTGTGCTTTTTCCAGGTCAGTGACTTACTATGTAGTAAAGCGAGGATTGCGCCGATGGCAAAAGAACACCTTTAACAACTAAGTCAGGAATGGTAGACACCCAATTTCTATTGTCACATGTTCTCAATTTCCCTGGTTTCTTTACATAATGCGAATGGTAGAATTCTGTTTTCTGATGGGTATGATGTAAACATAGAAAAAGTGAGGGGGGGGGGGAAAAAAGACCAAATGGTTAAATCGAGTCTGTGGAAATTTGTTCCAATCATTCACTCCCTTCTTTAGTGAAAATGCTTAGGTTTGACCGGTTTTCCAGCTAGTTTGAGCCGGGTTCTTGATCTCGACTTCATACTAAAACTGCTGCCCTCCTAAACCTTAATTACATCCTTAATGTATTTAAAGGTTCGAATCATGTCGTCCTTTTCCTGGAGGTTGTACATATCAAGTTCTTGATATGTCTCTCCCGATATGTTTTTTTTTTTTTTACAAGCGAGGCCTCCAGAACTGGACGTTGTATTCTAAAAGAGGTCTAACTAAATTTAGAAGGCCACGTTTCTTTGCTTTATGCATGCTTTCTTTGCTATATGTAAAAAGACAGAAAAAAAAAAACACGATTTCCATTTGCTTGTACTAAGAAGTAATTTCTTGTTACATATAACCCTTTTTGTACTATGGTCATTTATTGTCCTGTGGGTGAAAAATATATCTGCAACTACAAGCCTGTTTGAGTTATGTTAAAATTTTACTGCTGCATTAGTATCACTGGGCAGGGGCCCTTCCTATGGATTGACTGCCCTGGCACACAAGTGACTTAAAACAGACCTGCATACAGCGGACAATTTTTTAAAACATTTTTTTTGTGTGCATGGTGTTGGGCAGGCATTACATTTCTAAGACCTAATTCAACAGTGTGAAGTACAGATTCTTGCACCAGCCATGGCACAGAGAAAAAGAGGGTAGCAGCAAGGGGCAGGTCATCACATCATAAACGCCACCACATTAATGAAATGTAGGGAAAGGAGCCTGGCTGCTGTCATTCGAAGTCAAGTAATGTTGTAGGACACCAGGAGACCTGACACTCTCATATAGTAGGGTGTACATGTTTTTGCACAGCATGCCAAAAAAATCAACCCAATATTTGCATTTACCATGTGTACTTACCAGTAGGATGTGTTGCAAAGGCCAACAGGACAACACTGAAAGAAACAAATCGCAAACTCTGTATGAAATGTATTATCCATTGTCAGCACATTTTAGGTTTTCTCAGAATTAATAAAGATTTCCCATCATCTCATGCAGTACAAAAATCATCAAAATGCATACTGGATTCACTTAACGCCTATAAAGTAAGATATAATTCAGCACACAGAATACAAAATCCACTGGGGTAGCACCAGATAGAAAGTGGGCCCATTTTCACTTGGTGGCCTAACCCGCGAGTCTGGTCATGCAGACGCATAAAGGTGCCTGCAGGTATGGTCACATATCTTGTTGGCTAAATTAGTTAACAGGCATCAAAAAGAAAGGCATGTTAAAAATAGTTTTGAATCATATATTTTTATTATGCCAAATGTATACAGTATAGCTCCAACAGGTTGAGCAGCACTTTACAATATAAAAACAAAATTTAGTTGCAAATTCAAGAGAAGATGATTAGGAGGGCTAACAATGTGTTTTTGACACGCATAGGAGGAGTCTGAAAAAGCCCTTCCTAAAGCCTTAGTAAACCTTGTCCTGGGGTATAAAATGTATTACTATTATTAAAGGACCCCCCAAACATCATAAGTGCATCTAAGGTGGATTTGGCATGTATTGGGGTGCACAGTCATTGACTTGAATTTGCAACTATGCAAGTTGCCAATGCCTACCAAACGTTGCTGGCAAGTGCAAAATTATTGCAAAGCAACGCAAATGCAATCTGAATTTTATTTGTGTACTAGAGCATTCTGTTTAATTTTCACATAAAAGGTGCTGGCATTGCAAAGCATGCAAATAATGCTTCTAAATAATGCAGCCAAAAAATTCAGTGGAAGCCCAGTGAGCTTTAATATGCAAATAGTGTCTCCAAGTCAAGCTTGGCACTGGCCATCCTGTACCCCTGTATTGGTCTATTCTCAAGATGGCCAGCCTCACTAATCAATAATTAAGCTTGGAAAATTTGAAGCTATATCATGAACTGAAGGCTGTTTGCATATTACAGCTACTGGGGCTTCAGGACTCTGCATAGTTGATGGCTACTGTACCTTAAGATGCTTGATTTTTGCACCTCCTGTCACTTGGGTAACCTTATCTGAGTGAGGTACTTTATGCTTGGACAAAAAAAAAAACTTCAAAATGCACACATTTTGAAAGCTTCCCATTGTTCTCTATTGGCAGGCCAGAGATGAGCTAGTTTTCTAAAAATGCATAAATTTGCATGCAGCTTTCAAGCACACCAGAGTGAATGAGTTTTCACAGTAAGGCTGGGTTCACACTTGGGCGTTCGTAATATGCGCGTTTGACGCGTGTTTTGGGCCGCACGTTTTTACAGCGATTTGCGGTCAACGAAACACGCGACAAACGCGCATTTACGAGGGCTATCCAGCTGTATCCTAATGGATACGCGTGGAAAATACGCCCCAAAGAAGCTCCTGTACTTCTTTGGGCGTAGGGCAATTTTCAGCGCGTTCCTACGCGTGTGAACAAGGCCTAAATAAACTCTCTTATCCTATCACAGGTAAAGACACTGCCACCTTAGCCTCTATTTAGATCGCCACGGGGCTGCTCATGTGATCAGCTATTTAATGTGAAACTTAACCCTCCTCTCCTTCACAGTTAAAGACAGTGCCCTGTCAGGCTCCATTTAGATGCATCACCAGAGACATGCCTTGAAAATAGCATACACTGCACTGGTTGTGGGAGCAGTATCCCTTTATATAAACTGGAACCTCTTAGCTGAAATCTAGAACAAAGAATTTAAACAGAAAATCCAGTTGGAAACTCTAAACAGTTTCATTGCACTGATTATTGTAATCCTACCGCATTCCTGCGGTTCTGAGCAATCAAACAGCCTGTCATGTATTAGCAAGGAATCCCTGCACATTCATTAAACTGCTGTGATATCACCTCATAACTTATTTCTCCACAAGCACGAGGGCAGCCACACGGCCAGGCCTGGGAAACGCAATCTTGTTTGTTTAGCTTCCAGAATGAAGACAGCCAGTATTAAAAGAAAACATGCACGTATGGATATAGCAGAATGTGCTAGAAAGGATTTGCCTTTGGGGAATTTGACATATGTATGAATCTATCAATACTAAGAAAGTGAGAACAGTAATAACATGGCACTAGGAATAATGTATAGGATGGTTGTTATTTTACTTTTTTTTTCTTCTATTTGCTATTTATATTAATCCCAGGCATCGTTCTAGTCATGACAAATGAATGATGGTGTGAGAAAATGAATAAAATGGCTTTGCTTTTTAAAGTAGAGGCTTTTTCCATTATTTTTTAGGGCTTGCATAGATGGGTTGTATGAGAGTTACAGTGGGGCAAAAAAGTATTTAGTCAGCCACCAATTGTGCAAGTTCTCCTACTTAAAAAAGTGTGCTTTCAGGTGCTACTAAGAAGCTGTAAAATGCATTTATTTTACAAAAAAATGTTATTCAGACTCTGAGAAGTACAACGTCACAAACTGCAAACTGCAACATTCAATACATATTGCATTAGCGGAACACAAAGAATAATGTATAAAAGATAGGGGTAAGAGCAAACACTCAGTTGTTATGCTAATTGGAGCTGCATAGCAGCCCCCATGAAGACAGTAGTAGCCATGAACAAATGGAAGAAGTGAAAAAAAAAAAAGTAGAAAGAGGTAAAAGGTGCAATTAACCCAGGGACAGCCGATTCCTAATGATTCGACTCGCAGGAGATTAGGGGGGAAAACCTGGGAGCACAAAAAGTCTATCTATGGTGACCAAAACCTAAAAGGAACTTTAACTAGGAGTCACTTAAGATAGCAGTCATTTTTTGATTAATAAATGGTATCCATAATCTTCTGTTTAACCTCCATTTATCTGAAAGTGGGTTGTTTCCAGGACCTCAATATTGTTTGTCACCTGGCCAAAAATATAAAAAGGTGGCTAGTTTAGCTTCAGGCTTGAATAAGAAATGTGTTTTTTTTTGGTCAACAGGGCTTTCCATGGACCCCGTGGAAGATAATCCACATGTAACAGGGGTCCATGAGAAGTACAGCCTCTGAAACAATTAGTGGAAGCAGTAGGTACATATTTACCTTTCCAATGCGGTGTCAGATATTGGCGCGTTTGTAGTTTTCTAAAGCAAAGGTATTCAACAAGCTTTTGGCAGCATTGCGCCAGATATAAATACATTCCGGTTGGTTTGAGTAGTTAATAGATTTGCTTTCTAGTTGCAGCAAGCTGCTTCAACTTGCTTTTGTATTCAGTTCAGTGAATCTAAACAGACCCCTTTATATTTTCCTTTTAAAATAGAAAAAAAAAAAAGAGTATGAGGACAAAGAGTAAATCAGTTCTGATCGCCAAGTGCTTGTAACCCGCTCTCCATCCGGACTTAGCTGTCACAAGAGGCCGAGCTGGGCACTTTGGGAGGAGAGCTCGGCCTCCTGTGACAGCTTCTCACTTCCCCACTGGGCGCCGGTCTCGGACTGTTTGTATACCGTTCTCCATCCTGACTTGCCTGAATCCATTCTGAACCATATGTAAATTCATTACCACTCTGCACTTTCTTTTTACCACCATGCTTGCTCTACACTTTCTTTGGAGCCATGCTGGATTGAATAATACAGTAAAGTACTGTATGTGCTAAAAAGCACACAACAAAAGCTTCACAGCAAGTGTGCACAGGTCTGTCTGCGACCGCAATCTCGACTAGAGGACGCCACGACCACGTGTCAGGGCGGGGAAGATGGCTGCAGTCGTGTTCGTCACCCAATTTGGAGTTCGTGAACAGAAGCAACATTTTTGCTGAACTTTTTGTTTGCGAACAGAAGCGTTCGTGAACCGAGGTATTACTGTATATAATTGACTGAAGTCACAGAAATAAATATTCTCTTACATTGTACTAACAAACAGCATTCATTTTTATTGTTCACCTCTATTGTCCTATAGGAGCAACTGTTAAAACATGACTGTGAAGTCCAACAGGTACGAGATTTTGACCACACAGCACTGTAACTTACCTCCTCCTTCTCCATTACACCTGCAGCTCTGCCAGCATACAGATATGCAGTATATAAGCAGAAAAGGATTGAGCCTGAAGCACCCACTGATGGCAGAGGTTAACTGCTTACGTATTCAGCAGGTAGGGAGTCAAATATTAATTTGCTTTTACAGCAACAGGTGCCACTGCTATCCAATAGTTCCAAACAAGACTGGAAAAGAGGCGCCGGATACAGATATTTAGGAGATCAACCAAGTTAGCACTGGGATCAATGGGTTCTGGTTTGGCACCACTCCAAAAAACACGGACCCCCCACTGGAGAAGGAGTACAACAAGGAGTTGAGAATCCATGTGTAGAGCCTAAAACTCCACAACTTTCAGTAATAATGGGCTGTTCTGTGCTATTCTACTTCTAATAATTTTTAAATTAAAAGTTGTTGATTCTTGGACATTGTTTGGCATTCTTATTAGACTCTATTTCAGCAGTTCCAGCCATCTCTGATGGCGCGTCGGCTGCTTTGTGGTGTGGTTCTTCTTGTCAGCTGCTATATTACTACTGTATGTTGTAGTGATATAGAAGATTTGACTCGCCAGCAGAGGAAGCCATTAACACAGAACATTCACAATACAGAGTATATTGACAATATAGTCACCGTAGTTCCCCATTTCAGTTTATGTTTACATTTTAAAAATATATAAAACACAATATATATAGTCGAAAACAATAGTTCATACATTGTTGACCAAGGTAGTGGTGTAAAAGGATTGATGCACTAGCAGAGAAAGCCATTCATACAGAATATTTGCAATATAGAGTATGTTGACAATAGTTCTTCTAGTTCCTTATTGTACTTTAGGTTTGGTAAGGTAAAGAAAAAGAAAAAAAAACACATTAAATAGCACAATACTGTATAAATATAGAAATTATACACACCTGAAAAAATAGTTTATATACTGTTGATCAAGGTCACTGGGGAAAAAAATAAAAAAATAAAATGAGACAGAAATGCTGGCTGACATATATAATCTGTATGTAGTGCTCTACCATACCACAAGTATGGAAGGGAATACAAGTAGAGTAACTGTCCTTAACAAACACACTTATTTCCTCATGTCGCCGTGTTGCGTCCTTTGTTACCAACAAGGAATAATACACACATTTTCAGAGTGTTTATTGTTTGAGGGCTTGTTCACACCAAGCGCGTTCCAGGAGCAGAGCAGTTACAGACCGGATCAATACTGCGTCCAATGTATTCCAATGGTGTTTTGGGGTCTAGTTCACGCCGCAGCGTTCAGTTCCAGAGCATGTAAAAAAAACTGCAGCAAGCCCTATTTTACCTGCTCTGGAACGCATGCAAACACATAAAAAAAAAGCATGCAAATGCCCTGGAACGCACTGAAAGCCCATTTTAAAACTTTAAAAAATAAATACAAAAACTGCCCGGAACGCATCAAAAACGCAGCATAACACACTGCACTGTGTGTGCAGAAACTCATGCAGATCTGGTCTGCATTTGGTGTGAACAAGCCCTAAGGCCCCGTTCACATTGAGCGATTTATCGCGCGGTAATTCCCGCGATATCGCGGCTATTTACCGCTCGATATCGCTCTTCAATGCATCTCAATGGGGCAAAGGGTCCTGCTGTCGCGGGTCATGTGTCGCTACAGCAGGACCCTTTTTGGAGCGGATTTTGCCGCGATTCTCGCTTGCTCAATGCAAGCATTTGCGCGATATCGCACAAAATGCAAATCGCGCAACAAACGCGCGATTTGCGAATCGCGCAATGTGAACGGGCCTAAGTGTGCTCCACAGAGAGAAGAAACACAGGTAGATGTAGTTTCCATTCTACCACAAAGGACCCATACTGATCTACATGTATATTTATTTACCATTATGCATGCACAGTATATTACCTTAGCAATTTTGACTTCTGAGATCTCTGGAACACTTTGTAGCATCCTGGGTAAAAAAATTGAAGAACATCTAGCATCATTATCTCCAACGTAAAAGATTGTATTGTTGGGTCGGAGCCACATGCTAGTATTTAGAGAACAGTGATGTCTGAAGAAGGTTTTAGCTAAAGAACATTCTTAGCTGCATGTCCCGAGACATCTGAATATAGGATGGAGGTCTTCAGTGATCAACCACAATATAGATGCATTTAAAAACTAACATAAACCCATACGTCTTTTTAAATGTTTTAGAGCCCAGACACCTCAAAATGCCTGTTCATAGCTTTATTATGCTCTTGTGTGACCCTCTCCGATATAGATTTACTTTGCCTGACATTTCCTAACTTCATGGCTACGTTCCACCAAATACCATCCCCTTGGCCACCAAGGTAATCCCGCTGGAAGACAGAATGGTACTCGGCTATGTTTAGCCAAGAATATAGGGAAATCCAAGAGCTCATACCAAAATTTAATTATAACATTGATATGCATCCTGTGGTATCTGCTCTTAGGCTATACTTCCACTTTTAAAGCAGAAGGCTTCTTAGCCCCCTCAGTGATAGCAATAAAGTTAAGTGAAAAAGTCACATAAAGCAAAATTAAAAAGTCATAAAAAATGTTTAAAGTTCCCTGTCCCCACATACACGCAGGCAAATGCCAACATGAGTCGGGTGCGCCTACATGCGAAGATGACAATTGCGCCACACATATTACATATCATCGCAAATGGTGGAGTGTGAGCAATGATTCAAGGGAGCTCAGTCACTGAAAACACTAAACTGATGAGCAGTAAAAGCTTTCAAAGTGTTGCCTATGGCCAATTTTGGGTGTGGTAGTTTTTTTGCAATTTCACGGACGCGCACAATTTTAAAGGCTTGACATGTTCGGTGTCTGTTTACCCGACGTGGACCCATCTTTTATATTTCACCAAAAAACTGGGTACCGTATATACTCGAGTATAAGCCGAGATTTTCAGCCCATTTTTTTGGGTGAAAAGTGCCCCCCTCGGCTTATACTCGAGTCAGCGCCAGCGCGTCATCTTACTTACCTCGCCGAGCGTCGCGTCACTGCTGCTCGGTGTGCGGCGCTCATGCTTCATACATAACGAAAACAGTTTTTTTCCACAATTTTCAGTACTTTTTTTTTTATATATAGGAAAAGATTAAAAAGTCCAGTGGTGATTAAATACCACCAAAAGAAAGCTCTGTGTCCTCAAAAGATTATATAAAATTAATTTCAGTACAGCGCTGCATGACGGAATAAATGCCAGTCAAATTACCTTAGCGCTGAATACTGAAAAATGGCCTGGGCAGGAAGGGGGTTTAACACGCCGGTCTTCAAGTAGTTACATGATTTACATTTAAAACAGCTTTACTTTAATTCTAAGGGTTTCAGACCAGTAGTACATTGCCCAGTAAAGTATTTGTTTACATTTTTGCCTAAGCACCTACAGTCATCATGTTTCCAAACAGCTGGCTCCAAGTCTCTCAGCTCAGCTTCCCTGAAGTTCCTGTCCAGATCACAAGCAAAAGAGAAGTCTTCAGCAGCTGTCCATCTTTTAGCTTGGAGAAGGGATGAGGAAGGAATAAGGAAGGGGGATCAGGGAGAATAGAAATTGCTTGCCTAGTATCTGTGTGTTTGTGGAGACACACACAGCTTACTATCACACACAAGGGTGGCTCCATAGGGAACCACCAATCTACAGGAAACCATAACTTTGAAACATCATGGAACCGCATCCATTGTAAGTGATTTAACCCCTTCACGACCAGTGACGTACATAGTATGCCACTGGCACCGGGCCTGTTTAAACAGACTCTGTTTACATTTGTAAAGCCGACTGTCGGCCTCACAATACAAGCGATTGCATCACTTCTGGTCCCATAGCTGTCATTGCTGGGTTCCTGAAGCCCAGCAATAAGCTAAGTGAAGTGCACTTCAATAGCTTATTTAGAGTGTATTTACAGTGTAAAGGTGACACTAGGGGTGTTTTGGACCCCCAGTATGACCTTAAAGAGTACCTGTCACTGCCAATATGCTATCACAATATGATATCAATTGAAGTGAAATAAAAAAACAGTTTTTAAAAATAATAAAAAAAGATTTGAGTGTCCCCCGCGAGCACTCACGCCTTCACGTAAACACGCTTTGGGTACGCCTACGTATGACAACAATGATCGTCACACACGCCAGAGTGAGAGCAATAATTATAGGGCCAATCTTTATGCGTATCTCTAAACTGATGAACTGTAGGCGCTTTTAAAGCGTTGTCTATGAACTTTTTGGGGTACTGAATTTTGTCGCAGTTTCACAGATGCGCACAATTTTTAACCTGGGCATGTTGGGTATCCATTTACTTGTTGTAACCTCATCTTTTATACAAAAAAATGGGTATTTTATTGTGTTTTGGGGCATTTAAGTGCATTTTTCACAAAATTTGGGAATTTGATAAAGAGTTGCACTAATATCGTGCAATGTAAAAATTTGCAACTGCCGACATTTTATTGTACAGGGTCTTGGCTTTCAGAAAATATATAATGTTTGGGGGTTTGATGTCATTTTTAGGCCTAAAATGTGGATTATAACATTGGCGTAAAAAAACGGGGGAAAGAGTCATGAAGGGGTTAATGAGCATTTGAAATAGGTTAACAATATTTTGACTTTAATGTAATGTGTTACATTATGTGCCATCAGGTGCACGTACCTGAACATAATAGATGAATTACAGCCCAAAAATAACCGTCTCTATCAAACTGTAAATCAAAAAACAAAAAGGTAACAGCGTATACAGCATATTTAAAAGAAAATATAACCCTTAAAATCTGAATTCAATGCATTGAAATATATTAATGACGACTGAGGAGTTTCGCACTAGCCTTTGGTCTGCTTCACCCTTTCAGTCCTTTCCTGTTGTGAGAACTTGCTTTAAAAACAGTAAACACTTCCACTCCCTTAAATCTTCTTTTAAAGGGCTTCCTTGCCCACTTTTATTGACCCAAAAACTCAAAAGTCCACACAGGTTTTCCTTTACAGGGGATTTCCAACATAAAATTACACTAAACTCAAAAGGTAAATCTTAAAAATGCATTCAAGTTACCTGATCTATTAACCAAAATGTATCACTGTGTATCACTCGGCTGAAGATCCTCAAATCATCTCTGAATTGGTGCTGACACTGTCCTTCCTTCTGGAGGGTGGCCACTTTTGTTCCCCATAGTCCCTGTGTGTGTTGTAAAGTAGCCACCGCTCCAAGTTTGCTCCTGGGATGGACTACAATCCCATACACATTAGTAAACTAAACGTGAGATTGTAGTCCATCACAGGAGTGAGCTTGGAGTGGTGACTACTTCACAACAGACACAGGGACCATGGGGAACACAAGTAGCCACCCTCCAGAAGGAAGGACGGTGTCAGCACCAATTCAGAGATGATTTGAGGATCTATAGCCGAGTTTAGTATCACTATAACGAACACTCAGTACTTGCAAAACGAACACAGATTAAGCCTCTTGGCTTTTACTTTCAGGGTATGGCTGTTTTCGCCTCAGTCCTCTGGGCCTTGTCTGTTTTTCCCTCAAACTACCCCAGACTATCTTTCTCACAGCAATACAGGTTTTTCTTTCACCTTAATCAAGCCACACAGACTTGTTTCCACTACACAGGTGTATTCAGCCAATTTCCACATACTGGTTTCCACCACACAGGTGTATTCAGCCATTTACCATCAAGGCCGGTTCCAGGGTGATGCCCTCCTGACTCCTGGATAGAGATCTCCTCTGTCTCCCAGTTGGAACAGCTACCTTAGCAGGCTGGGAGATCTTAGAGACCCTAACAAGCCAGCTTGCTTCAGCTGGGTTTGTTATGTCTAAAGCTGCCCATACACCTTACAACCATCGCACGACTTTCGTTGTGCAATGGTTCTAAGGTGATTAAAATTCTGTACGAACTGCCCATCTTGGACAGTCAGATCGTACTTGCGATCATCACAAGCCCTCCCTGCTGCGGGGAGTGCTTGCCGATGATAGCAATGCTGAGCGGGCAGTGTGCGCTTTCGTCTTCCGAGCACGCTACCAACCCGCTGAAAATCATACGATTTTCAGCGTGCTAGGAAGACGAAAGTCGTGCGACCGTAGATGTGGTCGCACGCTGCCCATAAACCTGCCGATTATGGTACGATCGCGGGATCACCCGCCTCTGTCTCCTTGCCTCTGTCTTCTGTGTGCTCACTTTTGTCAATGTCTATGTTATTTTTTACTACTTATCATTGTGCCAGCAATTTCTTTATGTTGGAAGTATAACACTTTATGCCGATAAACAGCAGCATTTCCAATGCTCTAATTGCTGGTATTGTTTGAGCTGATATCAAAACACAGAATTTATAGCAAAGTAATTTGCCTGGCTTTCTATATAGCAGTGATGGCGAACCTTGGCACTCCAGCTGTTTTGGAACTACAAGTCCCATGAGGCATTGCAAGGCTCTGACAGCCACAGACAAAACTCCCAGAGGCAGATGCATGTTGGGATATGTAGTTTTGGCACAGCTGGAGTGCCAAGGTTCGCCACCACTGCTATATAGGATCCCCATCAGCAGAACATGCAGCTGAGATCATTACCACTTCACACAGCTCACTAGGCAAATAATTCTAGACACTTTAGATAAAAAGCTACGTTAAGTAAAAGTATGTTATTAACCAAATAATAAAAAAAGATACTATTATGATGCGTTGTAGGAACCTATTGCCAGCTCTGCGTACATTCAGTCCTGTGATAAACTCATTCCTCTGTACCAAACAGCAAACAAAGTGACACGCATCAAATTGCCCCAGGATATGTGAAGCTGTGAATTGTTCTAGTTACTGAAGGGGTATTGACCACACAGTTTAAAACAGGGCAGCTGACAGGATTTTAGACACGGTACAATAATTGCACAGCTTAGCTACTATGTTCAAAGCAATAGCTGAGCTGAGCAGTTATATGTCATCATGTATGGTGTATTAATCACCAGGACAATCAAAAGAGCCTCTGCATTCTCAAGAGAGAATCTAAAGCTATACCCGTGTGGAAAACCTAAAAATATGGTTTATGTTATTATGGAGTTCATAGCAGGACCACTATATGAACTATGATTTGGTATAATTGACATCCAATATCCGTGTTTTGCTTTCTTTGTAATGAAAGCATTTATATATTGTAGAAAGGTTTTCATTAAAGGGTAGCTACAGAAGTTTGTAAATGTACTTATTGAAGATGTCCATAGGATGCACTGAAACAATTTCACTCAGCTCTGTGAATATGCACCTACTTGTGTCACCACTCTCACATAGAGCCTGCCTTCTGAACTACAACTCACTATCTGAACAATGTAACATCATTGCTTTCTGGAAGCAATGCATGATGGAGTATGTAGTCTTAAAAAAAAAATCGAGATTGCATCATATCAAGCAGCAGGGAAAAAGATGCAAAGCACACTGGGAATCCATTAAGTTGTTAAAAGTGATGTGCAGACAGAAGACCACACACTACATAAAAGGGATTTTTTTTCAGGTAAGCTTTGATTATATTATCAAAAACAACTGTGATATGTATTCCTATTACAATGCTAATGTGATAAAAGTGTAGTATATGCTGGGACTCTAATGGACCTTATGAAAGGTTTATAAATGGATAATACGGGGAGGA